AATTCTATTTTCGAATCTTAAACATTCTTCTCTGAGATGTGATTACAAATAAATAAGCTGCATTGTCTTTCTGTGAAGCCTCAGGAAGATCCTTCCACTTTTCCATCCTTCACAGAACAATGTAAACATCTTTCAAGTGAAACCTCAATGAAAGCTGTTTCTTGATTTTCAAGAAACTAGCTAGTTTCACAGGCAGTTAGCACTCTGTGGCTCTTTTAAAACCAATCACCTCCTAAGAGGCTAACTTCAAAGGAAGCATCATATGGAGGGGATTTAAGAGAAACCAATAGGAAGAATCTCTTTAAATACGTATTAAAAAGATAATACAACATGAGGTGCTTTTTAAAATTATTATTTTATTTTTAAGTAATGTCTACACCCAACATGGGGCTCACATGTCACAAAATTTACAACTTTGAGATCAAGAGTTGTATGCTCCACTGGCTGAGCAGGCCAGAAGCCCCCAGAGTGCTCTCGGTGTGAAGAAGTGGGCTCCCCTCTTGTTTCTTCCCCTCAGGAGATTAATTAGAATGGATTAACCAGGAAACCTGAAAAGGTTGCCTTGCTCTCTCTTTTGTCTCCCTCTGCCTTCTCCCTCTCCTCCACTTCAAGCCTCTGTTTACTTGAAATCAGGATATGGAAAGTTTTTGGATTGAGTTTTAAAACCAAATAAGTCAGAATAATTTTCCTTGGTATGCAGAAGAGCAGAAATGAACTGTTTTCAGCCATTTTTTTTGAAAGTTCATAATAAAGTTGAATAGTGACTGCAATGTTGATTTGCCTGGTTTACACAAATTTTTATTTCTAAGAGAAGAAAATGGAGACTTGAAAAAATTTCCTCTGCCCTTCAAGGTCCTTTTAGCCGGACTAAGAATCAAATTGACATGAGACAGATTAACAGGAAAAAATCGAACTTAGTTTCTTATGTACTATGTAGTTTCCTAACCGGGAATCCACAGAGACAGGACATGCCCTACTGGTGAAGTGTGAGGCTAATCCTGAGCTAAGGGGAGGGTGAGGGCCCTGGGGACGGGAAGGGGAGGAAGATTACTAGCCAGAAGGTGAGAGGAGATTTTTGGAAAACAAGGGTTGCCCTGTTATGGAGACTGCTCCTTTGATAAAGAGATCTCTGTTAACAGCTCTCTTCCTGGTACAAGCTCTCTTTTCCAATGTAAATTAGGCAGTGGAAGGGGAGGTGAAGAGCTTTTCCAGAGTCTGGAGGGTTTTGATGGCTTTTAACGGAAAAAAAAAATCTTCAGGCCAAATGGTCCATCTTGGGGCAGTGTCCTTGGCCCCTACACATGGTATGTCAGAGGTGGGTGCAGAAATATGCAAACATATATAATATATATATTAATAATATATATATTATGTATGTTTTCTCTCCACTGATATTAAGTCTATTACCCTGAGGATTTAGAAAAATTTAATTTGTTCCCAGAAGGGTTGAGCAACGCTGAAAGACCCATTGAACAATCCTCTGCGCTCTTCATTAATTTGGAATTTGGGTTCCTTCTTGGGATGCTAAAGGGAGTATTTCCCTTTGTATTATCTATACTCAAAGGACTCATCAAGCAAATTAATAATGTAAAATGGGTTACTGGGAGAAGCTTTAAAATACTGAGGCAAATACCATCTGGTGAAGAATCATTAGCTTTCCATACTGACAAAATAACTGATGACAAATACAAAAGACTTCTTCAGTTCTCTAAAGCACCTAACCAAAGAATCCTGACCAGACAACGTATCTTTAAATTATTTAGTCATTACTTGAATTTGGAAAAACAAGAATATATTTTTAAAAAAATCCTTTCAGGGGCACCTGGGTGGTTCAATTGGTTAAGCGGCTGCTCAGGTCCTGATCTCAGGGTTCTGGGGTCAAGCCCTGCTCAGAGGGAGTCTGTTTCTCCCTCTCCCCCACCCCCTCATGCTCTCTTTGTGGCTCTTGTTCACTCTCTCTTTCAAACAAACAAACAAACAAAGTCTTAAAAAAAAAAGAAAATATGAAGGTAAATAGGCAAAAACTGCTAACCTAATAGAAAGTGGTTGCCTCTGGAGAGGGGGGCTGAAGGATAGGGTGTAGCGAAGGGAGATGCTATTTTTCATTTGATGTTTTGTCATATTTCTGACATTTAAAAAAACATTGTGCACATGTTAATTTAACAGGGGTCAAGGAGCCTGGAATTTCCAGGAGTGGGGTGAGGGTACCACAGGGCTCTGATTCATTTTTGCTTGGGGTACTGAATTTGTAGCTCTTTGTTTCTAAATGAATACTTTGTTGTTTATTGTAATTGAAATTAATACAACTTCCACAGCTACTTTGAGGTCCCTAGAGAGTTTATAAGAGAAGATTAGAGAAATTTCTTCTTTTATATTAAAAAACTAACTGAATGTACCACTAGTGTTTTTCTTCAAAGTTGAAAAAGCTTTAGGGAATCAGAACAATGGATTTTATTTGCTTTTAAACCATTATTGAAGTGGACATTAAATGTATAATGAAATTTTGTGGGTGTCTATGACTAGTGTTTTTCTTTCATAATATGTGTATACCACTGTTGTTTTCAGTTCAGGAATGGTGTTTTAAAAACTCAACGTTGACTTCTACTTTCTAAAAAAGGAAAGACCCAAAAAAAGCACTTCAAATTCAGGAAGAGTAAAAAGCAAACTATAAACTGGTTATTTATGTCATATATACATATATAATTATATTGCATAAAAGGAGCTAGTTAATTTAGGAAAATTTTTGTGGGGGAAATATTTCACATAGTCCGCCAAGAGCCAGTCTCATTAAGGAAGGGCTATTACTGCTTGTTCCCGAAAAATCCAAATCAGAAGAGACGGACTGTAAATGTATCTACATGTTAGGAACACCATGTACAACTGTCTTCCTTGAAAAGGTCTTCAGAGCACTTAAAATGAAGGTCCCACTGTTTTCTGTGATGTGTACTGACATCACCCTTATTCTTGTTACCTGACCACAGATGCAAAGGGTGCTACCAACCAGACCTTAAATAGCGACTGCACAACCTTAGAACAAGGAAGGTGGTATGCTCTACACAAGGCCACATTCTTGTGAGTCTCCCAGTAGGGAAATGGGGGAACCCACTTGCATAGATCATTTCTTAATATTCTTTAAACTCCTTCATTAATACCAGCCAGGGCTGCTACTTGGTCAGGACTTAAGAAGGCCAGGCCCTGTTCGGCATGGTCTGTTGGGGTGAGTTTATCTAATCCTTGGAAAGTGAGTCCTGTTTTGCAGATGATGACACTGAGATCTCTGTTAGGCGGTCCTGCCAGCTCTTGGTAGAGTTGAAACTTTCAACTCCTGGCTCTGGAAGCTCAGGCTTCGACTCTGCTTTTCCATACCTTGGGGCAGTGCTGACAAATCCCTGGGTTATTAATTCTTGCCTTAACTCTCTGGGAGGCTGGCATTGATTTAGTCACCGAACCCTCCCATGCTGGCATCCATTTGGCAAAATGAGCACAGTATTTACAGTCAGGAGGCCTGATCCTTTTACAGTTGACTCTATCCCCATGGTCCCCTGGTGAGAATTCTCTGCCTTCTTGAGCCTCAGTTTCTCTAACTGGTTAGGAGGCCTGGATCCCAGACAGCTCAGACATATGTAACTGTCACACCTTCCCTTTCCCAGGAACTGGTTGGCTCTTCCCAGCTGGACAGAAACTCTAGGTGTCCAACTAATCTCCCCAGGTGAGAAATGGGACCAAAGTGACCTCGGCTTTGGATGAGTCACAGGCCATCAAGGAGCAGGGTGCTGCCCTAGTCTGCTGTGTATGCTGTTGCAAAATTTTTTTGTTTTACTATTATTTCCAGATTCCAGTCAATTCTCATTACACTCCACGGCTCTGAGTAGGGCCTGCGCCATGACTTTTCTTCCTATAAACTCTGGCATTTGAGATACTAGGAGATCCTGTGCAGCTCATAAAACACTCAGGACCAGTTCCCATTCGACTGCCTTACCCCCTCCAGCTTCTCATCTGCGAGGCAACACCCTCCGCGGCCAAAGGCTGTGTCTTGGAGGCGAGTTCAGCTTGGGGCAAGCCTGGCATCAAGTGCAAGGGGGTCAGACAGGTGACTTCCAGTCCCAGGGTTGCTTCTGCAGTTTTGCTGCGAAGCTTTGGGCAAGTTGTTGAGCGAGTCTGGACTTCCGTGGCCTCAATTCTAAAATGGGTAAAGTTCTGATTTAAAGGGCTTGGCGCCAAGTTCTTATTAACAAACGCCCTGAAGTGGCTGCGAGGAGAGCAGATCTGGGATAGGGAGAACTAGGGGCGCTACCCTCTGCACGTCCTCTAGCGATTTTGGGGCCCCCTTTAAAGTGAGGTCGGGGGATCCCTGGGTGGCGCAGCGGTTTGGCGCCTGCCTTTGGCCCGGGGCGCGATCCTGGAGACCCGGGATCGAATCCCACATCGGGCTCCCGGTGCATGGAGCCTGCTTCTCCCTCTGCGTGTGTGACTATCATAAATAAATAAAGTGAGGTCGGGGTGGAAGGCAGCAGGGCCGCGCCTGGAAGACAGATCAGCTTCCAGGGAAGCGCTGCAAGTGCGCTCGCGGGGCCCCCCCGAGGGCAGAGGGAAGCAGGACGGAACAGCCCGGTGCCCCGGGTCCCAGGGAGCCGAGGAGGGAGGTGAAGCGCCCCGTGCAGGTCGCCGAGCCTCCGCCCCGTACGGCTCCAGGCTCCCTGCAGCAGGCAGCCAGCCGCGGGGGCCGGGGGCCGCGGGCAGGCGCGGCAGCACCGGAACGCGGGGCCCGCCCCCCGGTAAGTGAGCGCAGCCGCCGCGCCGCCTGACGCCAGCGGAAGGGCGGGCCCCGCGCGAGCCTACTCGGCCGCCGGCGCCCGGGAGGGGGCGGGGCCTGCGGCGGCGCGACCGGGCGGGGCGGGGCCTGCGGCGCGGGGGGCGGGGCCTGCGGCGCGAGGGGGCGGGGCCCGAGGGGGCGGGCGGGGCCCGCGGCGGCGGGGCGGGGCTTGGCGGCGGTTGTTTGCTCCCAGGCGGCGGTGCCTGGCTTTCCCACCGGGCTGCTCGGCGTGGAGGAGCGGGCTGCTCCAGAAAGGGGAGATCGCGGCTGGAGGTGGCGCGAGGGCCGGAGGGCAGCGGGCAGCGGGCGAGGACGCCGGTGGTCGTCGGCCGCCGCGATGTCAGCGCGGTGCTGCGCGGGCCAGGTGAGCGCGGGGCCGGGCGCCCAGCACCGCCGGCTCCCCCGCGTGCGCACCCCGCATCCTTGGCTCCGAGGGGCCGGGCGTGGGTGCCGCGGCTGCCGCTGCGCCGTCTGCGTGGCTGCCTCGGGCCGGAGCGCGGCGCGCAGCCGTCGGGGGAGCCCGGTGCCCTGGCTGGGAGGGACGGGCGGCTGGAAAGCGCCGAGGAGACCCCGGGGTCCTCGGTCCGTTCCTCGGGGTTCGCCTAGGGCGGGGCAGGCGGGGCAGGCGGGGCTCGGGCTCGGGCTCCCCAGGCTGCCGGGGGGTCTCGCCAAGAGCGAGCGCCGTGGTCCACCCGGCTCTGCCTCCCCGACGAGCCCGGAGAAGGACGTGCGTGCGGGCCGCGTCTCCTCTGTCGTGCGGTGGACGACACTCGGGTCATCTGGCGCCGGCCGCTGCGCTGGGCGTCGTGCAGCCCCGAGTGTCGGCGCTGGGCCTGCGGGAGCGCCTCGAAACCCGGGTCGCGCGCCACGGGGGCGCCGGCGGGCGGGGGAGCCAGCCCCGCTTCCTGCGCTCGCGCTCGGAGCCTTCCGTCCCTCCGCCTCGGCTCCGCGGGCCGGGGACGGCGAATACCTTGAACCGCGTCTGTCTCCTTGGGATGGGCGCCTCCTACTGGCTAGTAGCGCATCCGGGCGGAATTACTGGGCCTCAACTCTTCAGTGCTGATTAAACAGTAGGAGGCGGCGGAAGGTAAAGCCTTCCCGACGTGGAGCCCCCTCCTCCCTATCCTCCCCACTCTGTACAGCGTCTCTTTTCTCTTTCTCTTTTTGTGTTTGCTTTTTTTTTTTCTTTTCGAAGATTTTATTTATTTGAGAGCGAGCACGGCGGGGTTAGGGGCAGAGAGGGGAAGAGGGCGTGCAGGCTCCCCGTTGGCGAGCCGCGGGGCTGCACCCGGGACCCTAAGTTCATGACCTGAGCCGACGCGGAGCGCGGACGCTTAAGGCACTGAGGCACCCAGTGCCCCTCTGCACAGCATTTCTGTACATAATTTTAATGGTGTGTTTTTTTCCCCAGTAACTCTCCCTCGGGAGCAGTCAGGTACTGGGATGTGCCTGCTTTCTTTCTAATGCGTTCAGTCTTGCGGCAATCGAGGCCGGTCCCTGCGTGATGCGGAGGGTTAAACTGAGAGTCTCTAACCCGCGGATTGTGTTGGGAGATAATCCGCCCCCTTCCAGCGGCTGTGTGAAGTTCTCCTGGTTTTTGAGGTCTAATACTGTACTTGGCTTGCGTTCACGTTGACCTTTTCATACACGAGGAAATTGAAGTTTTTGTGAGTTTTTTTTTTTTTTAATTCGCAAGTGGTCTCCATGTCCAACCTGAGGTTCAGACTCACTACCCCGTGACCGAGAGTCGCGTGCTCCACCGACTGAGCCAGCCCCTGAAAATTGAGGTTTTTAACTTGAGGTGTAATGACTTGCGTTAAGTCAGGCAAGGAGGGAGAGAGGATGCTTACCACTTTACCAGGGCTTTTCGTACTAAGATGGACTAGAAAGGCTGTTTTCCGAATGTTCCCGATCTCAAAGCTTTGCAGATCTTTCGTTGTTGTTTGAGATGCTTTCCAATTTGGTGCAGCACTTCCCATTATTTAGTAATTATAGATATTTAGGGGCATCTGCCCTCCCCTAGTCCCTTGAGGCCTTCTGTGACTCCAAGCAGCTAATTTAGGGCTTTGAAAATGATTACCGGTACTCAAGTGGTCTTGTGAAAGAATTATTGGTATGGTTGATATTTTGGCAGGATTTAATGACTTGTTTCTAAAATTCCCCTCTCAGGACTTTGGAAAGAACCAAATCCTGGCCATTCATCACAGGAAAGTTAACTTCTCCTTTCTCTGGGCTGCTTGAGGGAACACTGTGGTGGGTCTCAATGCAGTGAGGGGGTGATGACACTATGACGTCTTTCGAATGGGGCTACTAAGAGGTGTGTGTTAAAAACAACTCATAGCACCATCAGAAGCTAAGTCTGACAGTCCCTTTATTTAAACAATTTTAAAAAATTGGTAAGTAATTTTTTATTCAACCAATCTTTTTTGTTTAATTTGAGCACCTATGAACTGTTTTATTCCCAGCATCTCTGAAATCAAATGTGTGGGTCCCCGCCCCCACACCAACCAATTTCCCCAAGATACTAACTGGATTTACAATTCAATTCAATTATGACGCCACCTGGATTTACTATCCCACAGGTTAAGGGCTTAGTTGGATACAACTGCCTCTCGCCACACACTTCAGATGCCAGTCACAAGTCTCATGGGCTTCCCATACTGAAGGAAAACCAAATCTCTATTTCTGGTATCACGATATCACAACACCTACTATGTGCCAGGAGCTAGAGATGGGGCAATGAGCCGGACAGACATCGTCTCTTTCCTCAGTGGTCTGTCCAATTGTGCTTGTGTTCACAAGCATGTAAACAGTGAACTAGTACTGTAACAAGACCTGGTAGCAGAGTGGCTTTGGGTGGGTTGCCGCAGAAGCCTGTCTGAGAAGATGCTCCTGGAATCGAGACTGGAAATGATCAGGAAGGAGAGGCATGTCAGGGCATGTCCATGTCAAGGTCTGGGTAAGGAGCCTTGCAGGGTTTTTGAGGAACAGAAGGGGGTCCAGGGTAGCCGGAGTGTCATCAGTGGAGCAGATGAGGCAGAGAGGCAGGCAGGTCCAGATGTGGCCAGAGACGGACTGACAGCCACGGTTGGAGTTGGGACTTTGTGTCTGTTCCAGGGCGAGCTGTGGTTTGCTCCACACTTAGATCACTTTGGGAGCTGTGAAGACTCCACGGTCTCCGGGACTAGCGGAGGTAGGGAGAGCAGCGAGCTGTTCATTCAGTGGAATATTTTTAAACTGCCTCCTGTATGTGCAAGCAGGCTGTAGCAGTCAACAAAGATGCCCCCTGATGGAGCTTAACGCTTGGCCATCCGCTGTTGCTGTAGTGTGAGGAGGAGAGCATGTTTTACCTTAATGTAGGCTGTAGTGGTGTTCACAGTGGGAGGTTGTTGGCTTCTGGGGTAATTTTAGAGGTGAATTGGACTTTTGTGTGGATTGGAAGTGGGGTGTGGGAATGAGAGCTATGCCAGATTTGTCCCCAGCTACTGGATTGCTGATGGTGCCATTTACTAGGTGAGATGGGAGGCTTGAAGGGAGGAGGACATTTGGGAAATTAGTTTTCTTTAGGCTTTGTTACATTTGAGATGCCTATTATAAATTACATGTGTATGGAAAGTCACCAGTTGGATGTTTAAATGGGGAGAAACTTAGGGGTGCCTGGCTGGCTCAGTTGGTAGGGCATGCAACTTTTGATCTCAGGATTGAGTTCCAACCCCACGTTGAATGTAGAGATTACTTAGAAATAAAATCTGAAGAAAGTTGGGAGAAGTTTTAGGTTGGAGATAGAACTTTTTGGAACCTGAAGGACCATCAGGAGCAATGTATAACTTAGAAAATAGCTCTGGACTCAGGTCTGGGTTTGAATTGGTAAATCTGGACGAGGGCTGGTGTGAATGTGCACATGTTACCTACCCTCTGTTAACCTCAGTTTTCCTTGACTGTAGAATGGGTGTGATAATACCTCCTGGGATTATTGTAAGGGTTATATGTGATCTAGACACACAGTCTCTAAGTACATAGTTTAGCACAGAGTAAGGAACCCCAAACTCTTAGTTTGTTACTAGCCAATACCCACCTGCACCTGGATAGTTCCCAGATCATCTTATTTTTGCACCGACTCTGAAACACACTTAGATTTCACTTATGCTGTTGCTAATGGATGCTAATGGAAGGAGAGATTACAGGGGAGAGTGGTCACTCCACACTGTGCCGGGGCAGATCCCTGAGGACTGGATGATGAGCAGAGCTGCCTTGCTCTCCTGGGAACTTACGACTTATTTAGGGGGGCAGTGTGGGGAAAGCTAGCTACAGAAAATGAAAATACATACTGTCAGAAGTGAAATAAGATGTGTAATTGAAAAATCTAGGGATCCCTGGGTGGCGCAGCGGTTTGGCGCCTGCCTTTGGCCCAGGGCGCGATCCTGGAGACCCGGGATCGAATCCCACATCGGGCTCCCGGTGCATGGAGCCTGCTTCTCCCTCTGCCTGTGTCTCTGCCTCTCTCTCTTTCTCTCTCTCTGTGACTATCATAAATAAATAAAAATTAAAAAAAAAAAAAGAAAAATCTAGACAGTGCTCACAGGGCAATTTGAGAATAAAGCTTGGCAGGGAGGGGATCCCTGGGTGGCGCAGCGGTTTAGCACCTGCCTTTGGCCCAGGGCGTGATCCTGGAGACCTGGGATCGAATCCCACGTCGGGCTCCCGGTGCATGGAGCCTGCTTCTCCCTCTGCCTGTGTCTCTGCCTCTCTCTCTCTCTCTCACTCTGTGTGACTATCATAAATAAATAAAAATTATATATATAAAAAAAAAGCTCGACAGGGTTCACTCCAGGCAAGTATAGGCATTAATGATGGTAGTAACGATAGCTGAGGTGTATCTCATGCCCACGATGGGCTGCCTGTTTCTACCTGCATTAGAGCCTACATTTTTCCACAACAACCTTAAGGGGTGATTAATGTTCTAATTGGCTTCCTTTTGCAGGGCAGACAACTGAGTACAGAGAAATAAATGAACTTGACTGATACTCCATGGTGGTGGAGCCAGGCCTCGATGCTGGTCCACCTGACTCAGGTTGGGCCTTTTAACTACCAGGCTGCCATTCCTTATTATTCTTATTATGTAGAAGTAATGAATACCTGTTGCTCATTATTGTTGCGTATGATGGGCCTTAGGCAGTTTTGAATACACAGCTGTTTTGATAGATACTGGTAGTTGCCAGTGGTTGTGGGTGGATAAGGTTTAGCCTTTTCCAGACCAAATTCTGCCGCAAATGCTGACATTTATTGGCCAGGCGGGTACATAGCAGTCAGGCAGCCTGATCTGGGGCTTCATGATGTTCCAGCTCTTTGCTCTTCTTGGTGCAC